CTCAGAAAACCTATGAGACACTATGAGACAGAACTGACTGAACGGCACTTAACAACAACAACAACACAGGTCCATGTAGGTAGTTTTTGTATTCCAGGAGAACAAGGCCCAATATGAACTGTTACCATTGGTTTCAGAATCTTGCTTCAGCATCTTTGATGATGTCTCAGTAACTCAGAACTCACAGCAGACTCCCAGGTTTTCTGCCTTTTGAAGTATTGCTCTGTCCACGTCACTTATCTATCACTACAAAACGCTTCACTATCTAATAGGAACCACAGGAAGGAAGCGGAATAACTGTTGTTGCATGACGTGGATTTTAGTCACTGAGATGAAACAAAGTGTACGATTTGTTGTATGTAAAATTGAAGATCTTGTCTGTAAACTTTCACTCACTTCACAACAAAATTTAAAAAAGAAAAAGAATGCTCCTTAGAAGTCAGGATGGTGAGACTTCATCTCTCAAACTTTGGACATTATAAGAAGGAACCAGTCCTTGGAAAAGGACATCATGTTTAGTAAAGTGGAGGGTCAGAGAAAAAGAGGAGGAGCCACAACAAGATGGACTGAAACAGTGAGAGCAGCAATGGTGTCAAGCCTAACAAAACTCGTCAGTGTGGTGCTGGGTTAGGCAGTGTTTCATCATTTGTGCACCAGAGTCTCTATAAGTCAGAGCCAACTCAGCAGCTAACCAGGTACTCTGCAGAGAAAAATGCATCTGTAAAGGTTTGGAAACATTGTGGGGCAATCCTACAGTGTCCTATAGGATCACTATGAGTTAGAATCAACTCAAAGACAATGGGTTTGTGTTGGTGGCAATAGTTAAGTGCATGCACAGCCACTAACCAAATGTTTGGCAGTTGGAACCTACCCAGAGGCTCTGAGGGAGAAAAGATGAAACAATCTGCTCAATTGTGTCAATCAGGTATTGGCAAACCTTTTCTGCAAAGAGTCAGAGAGTAAATATTTTAAAGTTTAATGATCGGCCTCTGCTGAAACTATCCAGCCCTGTGGTTGTTGCACAAAAGCCGCCATAAACGATATGTAAATGAATTGAGCAAGGCTGTGTCCCCATGAAACTTTATTTACAACATCAGCCATCAGACTGGGTCTGCTCCTTGGGTTTTAGTTTATGAACATCAGGTGAAAATGGATGCAGTCCTGATGGCACAGTAGGGTAAGCACTGAACTGCTAACTGCAAGGTTGGTGGTTCAAAACCATCAGAGGCTCCAAGGGAGAAAGCTGATGCTTTCTGCTCCCATAGAGATTTATAGCCTCCGAGCCCTGTACGGGATTGCTATGAGAGGGAATCAACTTGATGGCAGTAATGAACTCTTCATATATGTTGTTGTTGGTAAGTGCCGTCGAGTTGATTCCAACCCATTAGCGACCCTCTATAGGGTTTCCAAGGAGCAGCTGGTGAGCTTGAACTGCTGATCTTGCAGTCTGACTCCATAAAGTTTGTAGTAGGAAAATTGAGACTAGGAAATGCCAGCATCTTGATAATATTTTCTCTGGAGGCCCTTTCCTCAAAACAGGCATGCTGCTGTTTTGTTTTTGTTGATTGGTGTGTTTTTTGTTGTTGTTTTTTTTTGTTTTTTGTTTTTTACTTCTGATCTGTAAGATATGGTATAGCTATTTAAGCTTCCATACATTTCATTTTGCTCAAGATCCAATTCAGAGTTGCTCTGTTTGTTATTCGTTTATTGTGTGGTGCGACTTCTGTTTCAGGCTAAGTGTCCTTCCTTTATCAGGAAGGTCTCCCCACAGTGAGCACCTTGGGCATCCCTGTCATCCCTGGAGGGGATGGTTTCTTTACCATGTCAGAAACCACCCTTTTTAGAAGTGGTAGCTCCTTGAGTCCTTGAAAGAAGGTAGAGATATTTGAAAGATTACTGTCGTTGTTGTGTGCCACTGAGACAAGTTTCTACTCTTTATGAGCTCGTGTCACGGAGGAGGAGGAAGCACATCAGCAGCTGGCTCCAGGGCTGTGCTGGCTGGGTTGTAACCACACACCCTTCAGTTCACAGCCTAGCATTTAACCCTGGCACCACAAGGACTGCTTTTGTCACTGTGATATCCACACTCTTCCCACTTCTGCACCTCTTCAGTGAGCTACAACAGAAAACAAAGGGACAGATTTGAACTTCTGGTTGTCTGGAGCCCGGCTTGCACCGATTTTAACACCACCACGAAGAATTTCAAAAGTGTACATTGAAGGTTCTATTTACCCCAAATTTGCATCTCTTAGCACCTGGTTTCCTAAAGGAGGAGGAGGAAATTGCAGTAACACCCTAAAGCAATTATTAAAGTGGAATCATAGAAAAGCTGTAACACAATTGTCTGGCTCCAGCAAAGAGCAGAGCCGGTTTTGCCCTGTGTTCACTTTCATTCTCTGTTAGTCTGCATTCTGACTTACACTGAGTCTCACTCAGGCCACCAGGACTCTGCTCCAAACTGGAAAGACAGTACTTCCTCCCCCAATCCGTGTTTCATCCCCACATCTTTCCATTTCTAGGTTATCATTGTGTTCTTTTCAGCTAATTTGCACCGCCATAGTATCACTCCCTTACTTCTTATATCTTCTAATATTTGTGATTAAGGAGAAAGGCATCATCACATTCCTCTCTGGCTGGCTCCCTCCTACACAGTCTGTTGTTGTTGTGAAGTGCCATCAAGTCAGTTCCAACTCATAGTGACCCTGGATATAGGGTTTCTGAGGTGTGACTGGTGGATTTGAACTGCCAACCTTTTGGTTAGCAACCGATTGCTTATTGAAGACCATCACACCAGGACTCCTGTGCACACTGTAGGTCTGGCCATATTGTTGGGCAGATAGGCAGATAGGCAATAGAAAATTGGCCTAGTAAAGAGATGGCCTTATGAGGTACAAGCCTCAGGGACATCTCCATAGGAATTGAAGGGACACATTAAAATGGGACACGTTGATGCCCATCAGAAGACCCCCCTCCACTTTCAAGATCAGAAGGTGATGTAAATTGGAGAGTAAATATCCAGGTACACTCCCTGGAAGTGGCCACCTAGAGTCCATGAAAAGAGCAGACAAGAGGTACTGTTACAATGCAGAGATAAGTTGGCTCTAGCTGTATTCCTCTTACACCTTCTAAGGCATAAAATGCCAATAAGATCTGCATTGTCTGCCGGACAATTGAGACAGAGACTGCAGATGGCTATAGGACAAATTCTCAGGTACAGGGGTGGCAGACTAGACTAATGCCAGGGGCCTCTCTGAATATAGCTGGCAGACTAGACTAATGCCAGGGGCCTCTCAAGCTACAAATGGATTCTAACAGGAATATGCAGTCTGGGCTGGGCTTTACTTACTCAGTAGAAGCTGCAAATGTTCAGAATATGAATAAAGGACCAAAACAGATGATTTTTACCCGAGCTGTATTTCCTCAGACCGAAGTGCACACTTTGTTGCTGATGTTGTTTAGTGCTATGAAGTTGGTTCTGACTCCTAACGACCCTGTATGGAGTTTTATAGGATGCTGGTGGTTTTGAAACCGCTGACTTGTGGGTATTAGCCCAGTGCTTCTCTTACAGTGCCTCATAACCCATAACGTCCAACAGTAGACAATGAGAGAGCCTCCCTCAGAGAATTGGAACAGCAATTGACAACTTGTTACCTAAAATGACCCTGGACTTAGAAATGAGTGGAGTAAGGATATGGATATAGTCTCATTTGGCTGGAGTTGGAATTGGGAGTTCTTAAATCTGAGTAAAAACTTTAAGTTTTTCTCATCAAATATTGAGTTACCAACAAGGTGAGAGACTAGGAAGGATATAAAGATCTTCGGGATGTATGATCTTCAGGCGCTAAATCAAAGCAGTGATCAAAGATATGTGTAAATCAACAAGTCAATGCAAAACGTTATGGGACTTCAAAACAAGTCGTCATCAAGTCAGTTCTAACTCGTGGTGACCGTGATCACGTGTGCAGAGTAGACCTGACTCCACAGTGTCTTCAAGGCTGAGACCTCGTGAAAGCAGATCACCACATGTGCCCACTGAAGCACTTCTACAAGGTTGGTTCAAGTCACCAACCTTTGAGTCTACAGTTGAGCACTTAACTATTAGTACCACTGAGGGATTCCATTGGACTTTAAAGGAGGCCTATTGTCCCAGACAACTAGAGGAGAGAAGGTGGTATGGGTGGAGCTCAGTAGTAAAAGTAGGATGGTGGTAACAGCAGCTAACTTTGCTCTGTGCTGAGACCTCAGTGAATCCTCTCACAATCCTACCAGACAAAACGAAACCCACTGCTGTTGATGTGATTGCAACTTACCGTGGCCCTAAAGGATGGAGCAGAACTGCCCCGTAAGTTTTTCAAGGCTATAAAGCTTTAAGGAAATGAACTGCCACGTCTTTCTCTCTTGGAGTGGCCAGTGGGTTCATTCCGCCAACCTTTTGGTTAACAGCCAAGCAGTTTAATCACTGTGCTGTCAGCCAGGGCTGCTGCAATCCTACCAGGCAACCTCCAATCTGGGTTTAGTATCCAAGGGAAAGTCAGAATCCTTTGGTTTATCTTAACTTGTTAGAGAGAGAGGAAGAAAAAAAAAATCAGATGCCCAAATAGTTCCATGAAATATCTAAATCAAGAGAAGAAAAAGGACTAGATGCAGGTTTCTGTAATCAATTTTATTCATACAGACAGATTTTATTTACAACTTTAAGTAGTAACCCGGAAAGAGAAAAACAACAATGCCCATGAAAAACTATCTTTAACAAAGTAAAGGGCGTCTTTCATAAGTGAGTTGTGATGCTCAGCTTCTGATTTTATAAATATCAGAATGGCCCCAGAACGTTTTGCTATGTGACTAGGAACTGCAGCTACAGCTACCATCTACTGAACACTTGGCTTCATTTAAAAAAAAAAAAAAAGATATTTTAAAATACAGATGTGTCCACTTCTGCCCTGCTCTGGCGACACTCTTACCCTTTCTTCTGCCCTAGCAATCTTTGGCTGCATGCCTACCGTGCCAGTCCAATCAACTGCAAAATGAAAAGAAAAAGGTTGATGATGTCCAAGTAGATGTTCAAAGTGGCAAAAACATACTCTTCAGGATCCAGGTTAGAATGATGGTGGCGCCCGCCCACCATCAGCTGCACATCCATCACCAGGTACTTGAAGAAAGGGAAGAAGAGTTAACTCTTTAGTTATACATGTCTATCGAGTAAGTGTCCTAAAAATAATCCAGAAAAAAATCAGTTCTACACACAATCCCTAGGGCCCCAATTATTCATGCCTTTCCTGGGTTTATCCTCTGTGTTGTTGTTGTTGTTAAGTGCCGTGGAGTCGGTTCCGACCCATAGCGACCCTGTACAGGGTTTCCGAGGGTGTAAATCTTTACGGGAGTAGAAAGCCTCATCTTTCTCCCGCGGAGCGGCTGGTAGTTTCAAACTGCTGACCTTAAGGTTCGCAGCCCGATTCGTAACCACGAGAGGATAAAGCCTTAGTCTTCTGAAGTCTGTGAGCCATTCATGATTTTCAAACCCAACACCTTTAGCCAGAGACATGCACTTAGGTGGACAAATTAGACATGAAGACAAATGACAGAATGCCCATGTTCGTGATTTCCCTTCATGCTCTCACTGAACAAATAAACAAAAGTAAAGATGATTCCAAAGCATTTAGACTCACACAGAACAATAATTGTGAATTCTTGGAGCTTTGGATGATGGCAGCTTTCAAACCTGGACATGTGAGGATGACTTATGATGATGTCAATATATACAAAACAGAAGGAAGAGGAGAGGGGATTTGCACAGGACTGCTATCTAGAAAGTCGGCAGTTCAAACTCACTAGCTGCTCTGTGGAAGAAAGATGAGACGTTCTACTCCCATAAAAATTTATAGCCTCAAAAACTCTACACAAGTTCACTGTGAATTAGAACCTACTGGACAGTACCTAACAATAACAATTGAGAAAAAAGCCAGAAGAGCTCTTTCATCCTTTTGATTGTTGCACAGAGAGCAGCCTAGGCGTTTTACTTACTACAGACTGACTATGCGGGTGGGTCTGAATACTGTGAGGCAGAGTTCAATCAGATTGGCACTCAGAGAATAATCCATTTTCAACTAACAACCATTTTGGTGAAACCTATCCCACAAAATTCAGAAAAGCTGGAAACAAAGTTTAGATAAAGGGACTGTGTAAAGTTTATGCTCAACAATCCAGCCTAGAGTACCGAGCTGATATATCTATTTGGGACGTACGTTAGTTTATTGACCTGGAATAGATTATTTGGCCTTGATTCCATGATTGATTCCACAAATATTGAGGGCAAACTGTGTGCCAGGCACTAAGCTAGTGAGCAGGTCCAGGGTAGGGGAGAATGGAAGGAGGACATGTTCTATGTCTATAGAATGACTACATTTGTATAAAAGAGAAGATACACACACAGACAAGGGGTAAGTCAAAAAGTATTACTGCTCAGGTTCCCCTTCATACATGAAGAGATTTATTCCAAATAAAACGTGCTTCAACATGTCTCTGTGATCAGTAGATGACTGCAGACAAGTTCGCTCAGCAGTACACTTGTCTTAATCTCAGAAAGCTCAAAGCAATGGCTTCTGAGGGCATCTGCTGGGTTAGTTCAGTTCAAGGCAGAGAGATGACTCACAAGACTATGGTGACTGTTTTTTGGGATTCCAAAGGAACAGTTTTAATAGAATTTCTCAAAGGACACAGGACAATCAGGAGTTTATTATGAAGTGGTTTTAATAAAATGAAAAACCGCACTGGTGAGAAAAAGACCAGGAAAATTGGGTCAAGGAACATTTTCTATCACAGCAATGCACTGGCTCATTTTTTGAGGGTAACAAGGGCTGTCTTCTGAGAGTTTCACTGGCAAGCCTTACCTTAGCCACACTACAGCCCTGACCTTGCCCCTTCAGATTTTTTTGTTCTCAAAACCCAAGAAACATTTAAAAGGAATATGCTATGATTCCCTCGAGAATGACGAAACTGCCATTTCGATGTGTGTAAATCGAAGCGTACTGGTGTGGCCCTGCAGGTTGATGCGCTGGACTGCAAGGTCGGCTTGAACCACAAAGTTGGTGGATCAAGCTCGCCAGCTGCTCCTCGGAAACCCCATACAGGGTCACTGTGAGTCGAAACGGACTTGACGGCACGTAACGATGACAATAGTAAATTACAAAGTTTAATTCTCGTCTTAGATATTATCTTTCAAGAAAAGCACAGATTTTGTAGATTCAGTAGAACACTTAACTCTTTGTTATTGTTGTTGTCGAGTTGGTTCTGACTCATAGCAACCCTGTAGAGAGTTTCCAAGGAGCAGCTGATGAATTTGAACTGCTGACATTGTGGTTCAAAGGGAGCTTGCAGCCTAGGGCTTTATCCCACGGAGGCACCCCAGGAATCTGTCCTCAGAAGCTAGGCCCCTCTACCTAGTCTGCTTTAGTCTGGGGGCTCCACTTGAAACCTGTTCAGCATTAGAATGACAACCAAGCCTCTGCAGATCGGTAGCAATGTTTGAGGTGTCTTGGCTGGGAACAGAACCAGGTGATCCAATGGACGGTGAGAATCCACCACTGAACCATCAATGTCTCCAGCTCTCCTTTGTTGTTGTTGTTGTTAAGTGCCATCGAGTCGGTTCCGACCCATTGCGACCCTGTACAGCTCTCCTTAGGTTGATGGTTTTCAATGGGATCCTTTTAGAAGTAATAATTTTCCTGGAGAGCTTTCTAGGGAATTCCCGACTTCACCTGCCTCCAGACTAGTATGAGGGCTTAAGGGCATTGCCAACACACAGACCCTGTTCTTTGTCTGAGAAGAAGAGATGAACGTACTAATGAGAAGATCACAGTTCCAAGTCCAGCATACAATAGATGCAGCCACTGCAAAAAGAAAAGAAGCAATTGTATATTGTTCAGAATTGAGAGAACTGGTCCTAAGAGGGATAAGTAGAGAAATTTGCTCACCAGAGAAAATCCTTGGAAAAGAAGAGAAATTTTGATTCAGTGAAACAGTCTGGAGGCACAAGTTTCTAGGCTGAACTAATAGTAAGAAATCATTTGACAACTGAAGTTCAAAGAATTCAAATTAGCCAAGGTCAAACAAGCATTTATGTATGAGGGGGCTTCAAAGAGCTGGTGGAAATTTTGCTTTACGTTTTTTCCTCCAGCTTTATGAAGCCCTCTGTGTACTTAGGACACCAGCTCAGTTAAAATTCTTCCACTTAAATATATGTGAAAGAGTGCATGTCGTAGATATTTGGGAAAAGGAAACTTAGATTGGGAACTATTGTTAGTCGGCCCCTGATTCATGGTGACCCCACGTGTGCAGAGTAGAGCTGCCCCATAGGATTTTCTTCACTGTCATCTTCACGTTGCTTTCACGACATAGCTCCTGACAAGTCGATTTCTGCCTAATGGTGACCCCATGTGTGCAGAGCAGGATTTTCAAGGTTGAGACCTTATAGGGGCAGGTTATCAGGCCTGTTTCACAAGGCGCCGCTGGGTGGGTTCGAACTGCCAACCGTTTCAAGTGTAGTCAAGCAGGGACTCCAAAGTGTGCCACCCAGGGACTCCAAACAGGAACTCAAGTAGATAAATTTGGTAGGAGACACAGTATGTTAACTGTACCTACTGTTATAGTAAAGACCTACAGAGCCCATCTAATATATATTTGTATTATTGCTAACATCTTTCTACAATCAATAACAAATGGAGAGATGTGAGCTTTTCAAGCCTATGTGAATATTTGTGATGTCTTTGAGTTTATCGCTAACATGTAGAGATCTAGTGTGGTATCATAGGATAAGCACTGACATGCTAAGTGCAAGGTCTGGGGTTCAAACACACAAGCTGTTCCTTGGAAACCCTATATAGGTGCTGACCTGATGGCACACAACAAGTAACATATAGATGTTACCTCTTTAGCTGTGAGTCTATATGATCATTCCTAAAACTAAACCAATGTAAGCAGAACTGTTGTTCATTGTGTGAGGATCATGTAACAAGTCCAATTGTTGCTAAAGAACCTCTTTGGTTCAGCATTTAGACCAAGTTTGTCAAATGTACTCCTAACCAATGACTGAGCAATGGGAAGTGTGGCCTTGAGGAAGTAGATTTCAGAACATAGAAACAGGACTCTTTGGTCACTTAAGTTCCTGGCCCATTCTTATAGCCACCATATTGGTGTCATAGGCCCGGGCTAGTCCTCAGTGAGTTGGCCTCCAATAGAGCTTTCATGCAGGGCTCACTCACAGACCCACACCACAGACAGTTCCCATACCTCTAGCCACACACTCTCGCAGAACCAATCAGCCTACAAACATGCAGTATCAGGGAAAAGGCATGATCGCTGGGGTCACACAGACCTGGTTCTGATGCCATCTTCAGCCACTTGGATGAGTTATTTCATTTCTTTGAGCCTGTTTTCTTATATAGAAAGAAGAGACTTTCTGCTCCTGTAAAAATGTATACCCTTGGAAACCCTATCCAGGATCATTGTGAGTTGGAATTGACTCGGTGGCTTTGGGTTTGTTTTAAGTTGGTTTTCTTGTATAGAAAATGGATGAGGTAAGTCCTTTTCAGGAATGTTGTAAGAATTAAATGTTATTTCCAGTGTGAAAACCATATAGGCGTATGTCTGATATCTAGTAAGCATTCAATGAATGTATTTATGAAGATAATAAATTAGAATGGGAAAATGAGGAGCCTCCTCTAGACTGCTGTTGGAAAAGAGCAAACAAGCCCATTTCTTCCATTACTCCAAACAAGTAGCACCACCTGCTCACTCCTGCCCACATCTATCAAATGTTATTCAATATTCTAAACAGGTATCTTGGAACAACACTATAATTTTCCTATTCAACCCTACAGGTGTAATGCATATTGTTGTTAAGTGTTGTTATGTGTTGGTTTTGACTCATAGTCCCTTTGTAGGGTTTCCAAGGAGCATAAACTCATATATACTCAAAATATTTTAATACAAATAAACAAAAACCATGTGGCAATCACATGATCCTTAATGGGGTGTTATGCTAAAGAAATTTGGAGTCCTTGACCCTAGCCTTAAAACTTACAATCCAAGGTCAAGCAGTGGGACTGCAATCAAGTCCAAACAACACAGAATTTAAAAAAGGAAAACCTCTAAAGAGCGCAAGCAAACCATCTAATAGAACGTCCTAACCCCCGCCCCACCCAATACAAGAGAAGGAGCCTAGCATACCCCTGAGGGTAGGTTCCCCTCAAAGTCCTCTTGGGAAAAGCCAATCGTAATCTAGAGTTGTTGTTGTTGTTGTTAGGTGCCATTAAGTTAGTTCTGACTCATAGCAACCCTCTGCACAACAGAATGAAACACTGCCCAATCCTGATCCATCCTCATAATTTTTGTTACGCTTGAGCCCATTGCTGCTGCCACTGTGCCAATCCATCCCATACACTTTACCAAGCATGATGTCCTTCTCTAGGGACTGGTCCCTCTTGGGAGTCAGGGTATGAGTTCAATATACTTCCCACATTTATGCTACCTTCCCAACAACACCAATATTGTGGCTATAAAGATGGGTCAGGAACTTAAGTGACCAAAGCGTCCTGTTTCTGTGCTCTGAAATCTGCTTCCTCAAGGCCACACTTCCCATTGCTCAGTCATTGGTTAGGAGTACTTGGATCCTTCCTTGGAAATTATGACTGCCAATTTTGACTCAAGGATTCCCTGACAGCCCTGTTGAACCTGCTTTAGACTATACCACAGTGAAAATGCATCCAACTTTCTTTTTTTCTCTCCATCATTTGGGGTCTGACAATACTTCCAGTCTTTTCCAGCTCCCTCGTCATTTTCTCAATACAGGGTTGTATTGCACTGGGCAAATCTACTACTGCAAAATACTTTTTTAAAGTGCAAAGATAGCACTTTGAGGACTAAGGTGCTCCTGACCCAAACTGTGGTATTTTCAGTCCTTTCTTAAGCATAAAAAAGCTGTGCAATGAATAAGGAGGACCCGAGAAGAATTGATACATTGGAATTCTGGTGTTGGTTAAGAATATTAAAAGTACCAGACTGCCAGAAGAACAAGCAAATCTGTCTTGGAAGGAGTACAGCCAGCATGCTCCTTAGAAGCAAAAATGGTAAGACTTTGCTTACATACTTTTGGACGTGGTATCAGGAGGGAATAGTTCTTGGAGAAAAGGACATCGTGCTTGGCCAAGTAGAGTTTCAATGATAAAGAGGAAGACCCTTAACCAGATGGATTGATACAGTAGATGCAACAGTGGGCTCAAGCATAGCAGCGATTGTGAGGATGGACAGAACCAGGCAGTGCTTTGTTCTTTTGTACATAGGGTTGCTCTGAGTCAGAACCAACTCGGCTGTACCTAACAGCAACATGTTTAACCCCAATATGGTGTCTGCTTCTCAGATGACCAGACTAGCACAAACAGCTCTTCACCTGTATTTCTAACAACTATCTGAGGTTTCCAGGTGAGATTCTACTTACATATGATCGTATAAAGATGAGGAGAAGTCCATAGATCATTAGTACAATGAGAGAAACAAACAGCACTTCATTTAGCAAGGTAAAATCCAACTGAGGAAATATAAACAGCACAAAAACAACTCAATTTTCACCTGTAAGAAATTTTAGGATGTTTAGAAATACATTTTATGTCGTTTAGACAGAAATTGGCCCATTTGCTAATAGTTTATCCTGGCCATTTCAGAGAACTATAGAAATCTATTAGCAGTTCAGAGAGCCACAGAAATCTATGATACGTGAAAAGTGGTCTATTGATTTGGACTTGCTTCCAGAGGGAGAAGATGTAGAAGTAAAATGGCATTAGCAGTGAGTTGATAATTTTTGAAACTGGGTAATGGGTGCCTAGGATTTTATTATACTGTCCTATTTTTGTGCTTATGTAAAAAAGGTACATTGAAAAAGCAGGACATAAATTTGCAAGTACAGTATGAGCATTATTATTCACATTTTTAAATCATGTACACAGGAAACATTAAGGAAGTGAAATATTTGTATAAACTGGGTAATTTTCACATTGATATTCATATATTTCAATGTAAGTTTTCAACATTACTGTTAATGATTTTTTTGTAATTTCACAATTTGTTAATGTGGTGAGGTTTTCCCCTTTATAAATCAACCTGGGGGAAATTACAATTTTTAAAACAAAGGAGATATTAATCTCTAGCTTGAAAAGAAAAAGAACAGCCTTAAATTTACAACACTTCCTTGCAGAGTATTTTTCTAACTCCTCTCTCCTTCTAAGTGATATAAATGGTTAACCATTCCATTACTAACCAAAGGTCTTGGTGGTTTGAATCTGCTCGGAGGCACCTGGTAAGAAAGACCTGGTGATCTACGGAAAGATCACTAAAATCTCTATGAAGCACATTTCTACTCTGATCTTCATGGACTCACCATGAGTCAGCGTCAGCTTGACAGCACTCACTTGTCCTTCCTACACTTGATTTATCAATGAAATCACTTAAGACATGGTGTTTCCAGTGTAGTTCTCAGATCACTTCACCACCACTGACACACACCCACTGAGGCTGGGCCCAGCCCTCTATTTTAACAAGCCCTCCAAGGAATTCGGATGTACACCAATTTCTGTACAGAGATATGTTTTCAGTAGAGTAGCCACCAGTCACATGTGACTATTGAGCCCTTGAAATGTGGCTAGTCCACATTGAGAGTCCTGCTGTGGCACTGTGGGATAAGCGCTAAACCACAAGATTGGTTTGAATGGCAAGCTCAGTTGTTCAAACTCTTCGAAACCCTATACAGGGTCGCTATGAATTGGAATTGACTCCACGGCACTTAACAACAACAACAATAGTAAGACACACGGAGTAGTGATGTGGCACTGTAAATTAAGCACTGGACTGTTAACTGAAACTTCAGTGGTTCAAATCCATCAGCTGCTCCTTGGAAGCCCTACACAAGGTCACTATAGTTAATACTGATGCAACAGCATTTAACAACAACAACAAAGTAGGCTAAAGGAGCCCTTATGTTATAGTGTGTTACAAGTTAGGCTACTAATCCAAAGTCAGCAGTTCAAACATACCACTCACTGTGTGGGAGAAGGATGGCTTTCTGCTCCCCTAAAGATTTATAGTCTCAGAAACCCTACACAAGGTTGTTTTGAGTCAATATAGACTCAACGGTGCACCACCGCCACCACCACCATAGTAGGATCAGCTCTGGACTGCTAACCACAAGGTTGGCAGTTCAAACCCACCAGCCACTCTCAGAAACCCTACTCAGGGTAGCTATGAGTCGGAACCAATTCAATGGTACAAAACAACAGCAACAATAAATGTAAAATATACATTGGCTTTCAAAATTTTTCTTTTAAAAACATGTAAAACATCTCATTAATACTTCTGTTATATTGATTATATACTGGAATGTTAATACTTTAGATTAAAAAAAAACACAACCAAACCAGTTTCCTTTGTTGTTAAGTGCCGTCGAGTCAATTCCAACCCATAGTGACCCTGTCTAGGAGTAGCTGGTGAGCTTGAACCACTGACCTTGCAGTTCAAACAGCTTTGCAGTCTGGCGCCTTAACCCAGGACTCATTTGAGTCCATCGCAATGCCTGGCATCCCACATGTGTCAGAGAAGAGTTGTGTTCCATAGGGTTTTCAGTAGTCGTGATCATTCAGATGGTTGTGGTAGGAGTGAGGTTTGCAACCCTCACCACATAGCTTAGAAAAATGACTGCTGTCTAATGATGTGTTGCGTTAGACATATCTGCTGCACTCTTTGAAGTGTTCAACAGCAAAGCTGTCAGTTTGAAGACTGAGGTGTGCCTGACCCAAGCCATGGTATTTTCAATCGCCTCATATGCATGTGAAAGTTACACAATGAGTAAGAAGACTGTAGAAGAATTGATGCATATCAATTATGGTGTTGGAGATAAAAAGTCCAAAGGACTGCCAGAAGAATAAACCAATCTGTGTTGGAAGCAGTACAGCCAGAATGCTCCTTAGAAGACAGAATATCATTCTTGGTCAAGTGGAAGGTCAGATAAAAAGAAGACTCCTAAAAAGATGGGTCGGCACAGTGGCAACAGCAATGGACTAAGCTTAACAACAATTGTGAGGTTGGCACAAGACTGGGCAGTATTTGGTTCTGTTGTTCATAGGGCTGCTATGAGTTGGAACCAACTCAATGGCACCTAACAACAACAACTGCACATTACCTTTAGCTGCCTTTCAATGTCCTCAATGGAAAAGTATTAATAACTGCAACCATATTTAAAATACTTTCCAATGTGATATTTGTTCCACTGAATGCAGGCCGTAGGTCACCTGTGACTTAAAATACTAAAAAGTACCCTAGCATGTTAGATTTTAAATGGCGTTCAATGAATCTATGCATTCATCTGAGGCCCTCCTCACTTACTAACCAGTTGCTGCCATGCCGATTCTGACTCTTGAAGACCCCATGTGTGTCAGAGTACAGGTAGAACTCCATAATGTTTTCAATGGCTGGTCTACTTTTTAGAAGTAGACCACCTGACCTATCTTCCTAGGTGTCTGTACAGTAGGTGAACGCAAACTGACTTATTACAGAGAGGCTTATCTGGCTGATTTCTACATATAATACACTAATAAGAGATGGCAGATACTGATCTGATGAAGAAATTAAAGCTGACTCTAACTTTTGATAAATTGGATTAGTTATCTAGTAGACCCTTCTGCCACTCTGATACGTTCTTCATCTTTCTACCGCAGAGTGGTTAGCAGGCTCAAACTGCAGACCTTGTGGTTCACAGTCTAGTGCTTACTATATGGAGCCACCACTTTCCCATAGGATGCTTGGTGATGGTAGGTGAGTGTCACCAAGTTGGTTCTGACTCGTAGTGACCCTGTATAGGGTTTCCAAGGCTATAAATCTTTATGGGAGCAGAAAGCCTCCTCTTTCTATTGCAGAATGACTGGTAGATTGGAATTATTGGCCTTGCGATTAGCCCCTCAAGTAGTAATCCACTATGCTTACTAGGACGTTTGTTGTTGTTGTTAGGTGCCAGCGAATCGGTACCAACCCATAGTGACCCTATGCACAGAAGAACAAAACACTGCCTGATCCTGGGCCAACCTCACTACTGTTGTCACGCTTGAGTCCATCAATGCTGCCACTTGGCCAATCCATCTCGTTAGGGGTCTTACTCTTTTTCTCTGACCTTTCACCTTACCAAACATGATATCCTTCTCCAGTGACTGGTCCCTCCTAACAATATGTCTGAAGTATGAGAGACAAAGTTTGGCCATCTTGGCCTCTAAGGAGCACTCTGGCTGCACTTCTTCCAGACGCTTAGTAGGACGCTTAGTGGAAAGTTTATTTATAAAGGAGCTATATATGAGTGTTCCTATAGGGGAGCCCTAAGAGGCAGTTCATTAACCTAGACTAGGAGAAAGAGAGCTATTACCACTCCTAGACCCAAGGAAGCAGAGTCCTGGTGGCCCAAGGATTAAGCGCTCAGTTGCTAACCAAAAAGGTGGTGGTTCGAACCTACCCAGAAGCTACTCAACAGAAAACACCTAGTGGTCTTCTTAAGTAAAGAAACCCTGTAAGGTGGTTCTATTCTGTACTTAGGGTCAGAAGAGATACGTTGGCACACACCAACAGACCCAAGGGAGAGGAGAGGGAGTAATTACAGTTACTCAGAAGGAGATGTTGTCATTAAGTGCTGTGGTATCAGTTCCAACTCATAGTGACCATGTAGAGGGTTTCCGAGGAACAGCTGGTGGGTTTGAACTGCCTACCTTGAGGTTCAAACTGACCTTTCGACCCAGTGCTTATCCTACAGTACCACACACCAGGGTGCATTGAACTGGTTGCTTTGAGGTGAACTGTGACTGTTAGGAGACACTCTGGGGATAAACTCTCTCACTACTCCTTCCCTGCAGTCTCTAGCTAGCAGTCCCCACTGGTCAAACCCAATGGGAATCCAGAAACTAGAAAGTCAAGGAGGACAGCAGAGAGCAGGTAGGAGGGGCAAAGGAAGATCTCTTAGTACTTCCATTGTGATGGAAATCTGCTTCAGTAATACGTACTTTTGTTTGTAGAGCAAATAAAGTGAGTGCTAATGTCACCAGAGCAGTGGCTCCTGTTGCCCATAACACTTCTTCGGCATTATAGAAACTGAAACCAGAGACCGTGGTTACTGTTCAAATACATTCAAAAGAAAAACATACCAATAAATAAATAAATGGAAATGTGTATCAAAGACTTACACTGTTACGGTTCCTAGCAGCAGACCTTGAAGAATTGTCTAAAAACAAAATTCACAATATATCAGAGGCTGATCCCCGACTTGTACGGCAGACGCTGATCCGGAGTAGGTGATGTAAGGCTAGGTGTCTATGCAGGTCTAGGGAGCAACAAAGCTACGGGCTGATGGTAGGAAATAAACAGAAGAACTAAACAGTTCCTTAACATTCTCCTAACAACTGACAAGAGCACATCTTTTTTTTTAGAGAGAGAGTTCTGTGTTTTTCCCTCCACCTTTTTTGCCTTCCCTTTCACCCAAGTAAATCTATGTCTACCTTGTAGTTAGGAAATTACTACTCCTTTCCTTCCCACCTCTGGTAATTATCAAAGAATTATGTTTCTGTTAGCATAAAAATGGTTTCTTGACTTTTTACAATATTGCTCTCATACAATACTTATTCTTTCATGACTGACTTATTTCACTCAGTACCTTGTCCTCTAGGTTCATTCATGTTAAGAGGGGTTTTACAGCTTCATCTTTATTCTTTAGCATTGAGTAGCATTTCATTGTGTATATGTAAATTCTTTTGTTAGCAAGTCTTCTTAGAACACAATGGTAACTTTCAACATACTCAGTTAATTCATTGTGCACTAATTATGACTGCAGAAACCATATTGTCATTCATCAAATCAGATGGGGAGAAATATGCTATTTCTACTAGTGCTTCATCAATAGTTTCACTACTGGCCCTTTTCATGTGCCTGGGTGAGAATGAAGTACTTCTTCTAAGAGCTCAAACATGGGAGGAGAATTGAGAACTGAGTCCCAGTGCCAGGAGATGGAGGTGGAGGGTAATAATCCACAGCAGAGAGCTGGTACCTGTAGGTGTCAACAAAGGGCTAGGAACAGGGCTGCATGAGGCTGTGTGAGGGCCTGGACCAGAACTGATGGTTCCTATCATCTCAATGGAGCTAGGAGCTGGGACTATGTAGGTAGAGTGCAGCATGGGTAAGAGGCAAGGCTGAGAGGCAGCAGGCAGTTAAGTTGAAGGATGAAGCCAAGAAAGACAGTGAGACATGCCCAGACCCATGATCAGGCCTGGTTTCAAGGCCTGTAGAAATACCCAGTCCAGTCTGATGCTCTGTCAGAGGCAAATCCAGAAACTTGGCTGACCTGCAGATCTATGAGGCGAACCAGGAAAGAATCCTCCAGACTTAATGAATAAAACTGAGCAGCATAATCCATTTAACTTGCTTCATCTGCAAGAGGAGTTTGAACTCCCACTAGTCAACCATGCAGAAGATCAAAGTCTGGAGAATGAGAATTCCAGGAAGTGCTGGGTTGCCTCTAGATTTCCCAAGTCTAATGGAGTCCTGGTATGGCGCCTTAGGATAGGCACTCAACCTCAAGGTCGGCGGTTCAAAATCACTGGCTGTGATCAACGTAATCCACCATATAAATAAGAAAAAAGAAAAGAACCACATGATCATATCGATTGATGCAGAAAAGGCATTTGACAAAATCCAGAATTCATTCCTGATAAAAACCCTAAACAAATTAGGAATTGAAGTGAAATTCCTCAACATAATTAAGAGTATATATACAAAACCAACAGCCTACATTACTCTCAATGGAGAGAAACTGAAAGCCTTCGCTCTGAGAACATGAACCAGACAAGGATGCCCTTTGTCACCACTTCTATTCAATATTGTGTTGGAAGTCTTAGCAAGAGCTATACGGCAAGACAGGGAAAATAAAGGCATCCTAATTGGCAAAGAGGAAGTAAAACTCTCTATTTGCACACGATATGATCCTATACATAGAAAACACCAAAGACTCAGTAAAAAAGCTATTAGACATCATTGGAAGATTCAACCAAGTGGCAGAATATAAGATCAACATACAAAACTCAGTTGTATTGCTCTATACCAAAAATGACAGCACTGAAAAGGACATTAGGAAAGCAATACCATTTACAATAGCTGCCCAAAGGATGATATATCTAGGAATAAATGTAACCAGAGAAACAAAGGATATATACAAAGAAAACTACAAAACATTATTACAAGAAACCAAAAGAGACCTACAAAAATGGAAGACTGTACCATGCTCCTGGATAGAAACACTTAGCATTGTGAAAATGTCAATACTGCCCAAAGCAATTTACCATAAAATGCAATCCCAATCCAGATTCCAGCGACAATCTTCAAAGAGATGGAAAAAACAATTACAAACTTTATATGGAAAGGAAAGAGACCCAGAATGAGCAAAGCACTGCTTAAGAAGAAGAATAAAGTTGGAAACCTCTCCCTCCTCGACTTCAAAATTTGTTACATGGCTGCAGTGGTCAAAACAAGTTGGTACTGGTACAATGAAAGATACATTGAACAATGGGACAGAATCGAGAATCCAGAAATTAACCCATCCACATACAGCCAACTGATTTTCAACGAAGTGCCTAAATACATTGTATGGGGAGGGGATAGTCTCTTCAACAGATGGTGCTGGCAGAACTGGAAAGTGATATGCAAAAGATTGAAACAAGACCTTTATCTCATGCCTTATACAAAAAACAACTCAGCATGGATTAAAGACCTAAATATAAATCCCCAAATTATGAAGGCCATCAATGAAAAAATACGGACAAATGTGAGGGCTCTAATTCAGGGCATACAAAGACTACCAAACATTTTGAAAACTACACAAACAAAAGTAGACAAAATAGATGATTGGGAAATACTAAAAATTTAAAACTTTTGAATCGAAAGACTTCACCAGAAGAGTAAAAAGGGAACCCACAGAATAGGAAAAAATCTTTTGCCATGACACATCAGACAAGAGACTCATTTCTAAAATATATAAGAAACTACAACACCTCTACAGGAAAAAGACAAATAACCCAACTGAAAAATGGGCACAGGACATGAACAGACATTTCACCAAGGAAGGAGATCTGGGTAGCCAACAAACATATGAAGAAATGTTCATGATCACTAGCCATTAGAGAGATGCAAATCAAAACAACAATGAGATATCATCTCACACCAGCAATAACAGCAAAGATCAAAAAAGTAGAGGACAATAAATGCTGGTGGGGATGTGGAGAGATTGGGACACTCCTGCATTGCTGGTGGGATTGCAAAATGGTCCAACCTTTTTGTAAAGTAATATGGCACTTCCTCAGAGGGTTGAAAATAGAAATACCTTATGATCCAGCAATTCCCCTACTTGGTATTTACCCACAAGAAATACGAGTCATAACTCGAGTAGATATATGCACACCAATGTTCATAGCAACACTATTTACAATAGCAAGAAGATGGAGACAGCCTAAGTGCCCATCAATGGAAGAATGGATAAACAAACTGTGATACATACACACAATGGAATATTATGCTAACTTGAAGAACAACAAGGAAGCTGTAAGTTGCCACATAACATGGATGAACTTTGAGGACATTTTGTTGAGTGAAATTAGTCAGACACAAAAGGAGAAATACTGCATAGGATCGCTATTATAAAAGACTAAGAAAAAGAGCTCATGCGAAATGGGGGGTGATTCTTTGCTGATTACCGGGATGAGGGGAGTGGGGTGAGAGGAGGGAAAGGAAGGTAGAGCACAGGGTAGGGAATAGACACAGGACAGTTTGGGTGCTGGGAGGGCAATACAAAAGAAGGGGGAGGGGAATGGAAGAACCAGGTGGGTGGAAGAACAGTTAGGCAGGTTTGCATGGGCTAAGTGGGACAGAGGTAAATAATGATGTATGCACAACCTTGGAACAACAGAGCTCTGGGAAACAGGGATTGACCCATGGTTAGAATGGGCAAAATGGGGGGGAAATGTTAAGATGCTTGCTGTCTTTTGATACAATTTGATGAGTTTGACCTACACCTATCGATGCAGTAGCTCAAAAGCGGGGAAAAATCTTTACAGCGAGGATCATTCCCATCCCCTCAATACACAGGGTAGACAGGGATGTGCAACTTGGATATTGGTTATCCAAAATGGGGAGCTACAAAGGCAAGAAGTGACTGGCTTACAAGCTTTCAAGAGGGTACGGGAGGAAGGTAGAATCTCCATTGAATAGTATCCAATCTGTCTGCACCAGACTGATGAAAGGAGATGGGGATAGCACTCATGTAGTACTACAGTGGATAACTACTATCAGGATTGACTGTGAGGGTTGGAAATGTAAAGGTAGACATTTTGTAGCAAAAGGAGGGGAGTGGTGACTTTGCAGTCCAGGAGTGGAGGTCCCTGGGACCATCAAGGGAGAAGAGCGGAGTGCAGGACACTACACAGAGAAACAGTGACACCAGAGATGGAGGCAGAGACGATGGTGTGGAGAGAAGGAGTGGCTGGGGACTTTAGACCCAGAAAGGGAGAAGGGCTGTGTGCTGACCACCAAGGGGCAGGCTTGCAGGGTATACCCTTTGGTTGGTTGATGATTCATGGAGGGATTGTAACCATGGCAATGTAATGATATACGATAGGATGAATGTAAAGCTAATGTTCTCCTATGTAAACTATCACATAATTCACATAAAACATTTTTTAAAAAATCACTGGCTGCATCTCAGAAACCCTAAACAAGGTCACTATGAGTCAATGACACTTAACTGACTCAATGGCACTTAACAACAACAATGAATAATTACCCGATTCTTCATTTGTTAAATTTAGCTAAGTAGGCTATTTTCATTCCCATTTGTTGTTTTTGTTAAGTGCTGTCCGGCAGTTTCCGACTCATATAGGGTTTTCAAGGAGCAGCTGGTGAGCTTGAACTGCGGACGCTGTGGTTCAAGGTGACTTTGCTGTCCAGCACATTAACCAGCAGCTCAACACAATGATGCCTCAGTCCTACTAGAAAAATGGAAATAAAGTGTCTGCTTCCAACTTTCCTCTCTAGATTAATTTTCATCCTCTTCTACTAGGCTCACTGTTTTCATATTTCTCCATTTTTGGCAGCACATAGAAAGTGACTCTGTGTGTGTGTGTGTGTGTGTGTGTGTGTGTATGAAAAATTCCATGAGGGAGAGACTAGGAAAAGTGGTTTTAA